CCCCTGCCCTGAACCCCCTGCTGCACCCCACACCCCTCCTGCACCCCGCACCCCTGCCCTGAGTCCCCTGCCGCACCCTGCACCCCAACCCCCTACCCTGACCTCCTGCCACACCCCTCACCCCTCCTGCACCCCACACTCCAACTCCCTGCCCTGAGCCCCCGCCACACCCCACACCCCTCCTGCACTCCCTGGGGGCAGGGAGGGTGCGGAGTTGGGGTGGGGATTTTGGGGAAGGGGTTGGAATGGGGGCAGGGAAGGGATGGGAAGAGGTGGGGCAGGGGCAGGGCCTCATGGAAGGGGTGGAGTGAAAGCGAGGCCGAGGGCGGCAGGGGAGAGGTGTCAGTAAATGCGGCCCTTGGGCCAATATACTAGTCCTCATGTGGCCCTCATGGTCATTTGAGTTTGAGACCCCTGGTATAGACAGAATCATATTATAAAAAGGGGAAGCCCAGAACAGGAAAATTGAGCTCCCTTTGGGAGACTTCAACAGGAACCCTCCCGCTACTGATGATCAAGCCATGGGAGACCCATCAGACCCTAACACTATTGTTAAGGATGGGAGTATAACTATATTTGCAACTTGTGCATAGGTCTGTATAGAATTTCTATATGCTTGGGTAATTATAACTTTCATGGTAACTTTATTAAAACTTGTAAAATAGACTAGACTTTGTACTGGTGAATGTATGTGTGGTCATTACCCTTGGTCTTTGTGTGCTCCTAGAAACTCACTCTAAAGAAAGTAGCAGAGGTGACTTTCACTCTGTTACGCTTGAAACTGCAGTCGCCAGAGCCAAACCCACAGTGGTGTAACACCACATTACAGAATTCAGTTTACATAAAATAAAAGGCTACACCATTCTGTGCAAACTTCCTCTGATTGGGAAAAAGGGGTCCTAAAATGTTTTATCTATTAACATTAGAAATAGCCAAACTGAAAGGTAGGGTGATGCATCAGAAAGAAAAAGAAAGATTTGTATGAGTAAGAAATTGTGAATCCTGCGCGGGGAGAGATTTCTGCTAAAGAATCAGAAGGAAGATCAGTTGAATCTTGTGCTGTGCCCCTACTTACAGAACTCGAAAGACTTTATCCAGCCCATAATTAGAACAAACCAGCTATGTATATTTCCAAGGCACCCATCACAGTTATATCTAGGATCACATGTAAGTAAGAGTCCATTCCAAACTATGCACTGATGCATTCTATGAAGCAGAACAGAACTACTATTTATTTTTAAATGCAGACTCGTATCTTGCAATTCCTACTTTACACTAACCAGCACTGACAGCTACAGTCAACAGAATACTGTTGTTAGAAGAAACTGGGTTTGGACAAAAGAAAATGAAAGTTTGGAATTATAACTATACACAGAAAGACACATCATAGTACAACAATATGGTAAAAAGTCTTAACTATTGTATATTTAATTTTAATAGAATGGTTCCTTTTGTTTTGCATCAGCTTCTTTATTCTGCACTGGTAAGGTAAGCCTAACCAATTTTGTTGCCAGTTTCAGATTATAATTTAATGAGATGTATCAGTTTCAAGAGCCTCATCAACTAGTCCAATTGAAAAGACCGATGTAAATTAAAGAAGTTATAATTTTATAAGAATGGTAAAGACATTTACTGTCTTCAAGCTTCAAAAGATACCTTTCCCAACTTCCTTTTTAGAATGATGTAACCTCACTACTATTTGTGTGGCTACCTCTGGGAGTTCATTTATTTTCAAAATTAAAACATCAGACTCAAGTGGGGAAACACACACACACACACACTTCAATATGTTGTAATGAATGAGTTCAGAAGTGATTTCAGTACATAGAAAACTATGTTTTGTAACAGAAAAACTATCCACTTGTCATAGCTATTTCTGTCCACTTCCTTGTATCCAGTTCTCAGACAACAAAATGTAATTGCTTTTTAAAACAAGCCATGAGTACTGAAAACACAGTGTAACACATTGGTGAGTGCATTACCCATCCCCCTCTGTACCCAGTCCACAGAGGATACAAATATGTTACAGCCCCAGCTAGGAAGATTTAGCTACATAGCTCAAGGTGGAACTGCTTGTGCTTTTAGCTCTGTAGATCCAGTACAGTAACTGTAATATCATACTACCAAGGGTAATTTGATTAACAATCCCTTTCTGGGCAGAGGATAAATTTCTATACAAATTAAGTCAGACTGCACTGTATAGGATGTTCACATTGCAGTAACAAATATGTCATTGCCAAACTACAGGGCTGCAGTGGCTAACCAACTTTGGCAAATGAACAGGTGCTATTCCAGTGAATCAAGGTCTCTCAGACTAAAGCAGCCAAGCGTTCGGACCAAAATCTGAGTGTTTTTATTTGATCCTCTACTTATGTGTTTCTCAGCCTTCTCTGGTTGGTGACCCCTTATTCAAAGTCAACAAATTGCACAATCCCCTTATAGTTACTATTAAAGCAAGAGTAATAAATATTTTTTTTAAAAGGTATCAGTGATAATCAGAAGCCTACCTAATTTTTGTATGTGTGTGAGGCTGATAGAGAGTACCTGACCTTGAAGGGTAAAGAGTATGTAAGAGCAAGATATTCTTTGCTATCTACTGTAATAAAACTCAATGCCTTCTGACCTCCTGGGGGGAGGTTGCAACCCACCGGCTGAGAAACACTGCTCTATATTAACCTGTAACTAGGAGCTAGATTTCTGTATCCATTGAATGGTACCTCACTCTACAAGTAGTCCCACTGAAGTCAGGGGAACTAACTGAAGTTGACTGCTACTATATTGCAGTAAGGGTATCAGACTCTGTCCCTTAAGAACATAAGCACATACTGGGTCAGACCGAAGGTCCATCTAGCCCAGTATCCTGTCTTCCAACAGTGCCGAATGCCAGGTGCCCCAGAGGGAATGAACAGAACAAATAATCATCAAGTGATCCATCCCGTCGCCCATTCCCAGCTTCTGGCAAACAGAGGCCAGGGACACCATCCCTGCCCATCCTGGCTAATAGCCATTGATGGACGTATCCTTCATGAATTTATCGAGTTCTTTTTTTAACCCTGTTACAGTCTTGTCCTTTACAACATCCTCTGGCAAGGAGCGACTATTTTAAACTGAATGCACAGCAAGGGGTTAACATCTACAGTGGGGAGGAAAATTGCTGCAGCTTATTCAGCAAGGACCCAATCCTGCGCCAATTGAAGTCTTGCCACTGACTCCAATACAAGCAGGATCAAACCTCAGTGGTGTCATTGCCCTGGAGACCTTTCGTGTCGTTAATAGAATCATAGAGTTTAAGGCCAGAAGGGATCACCTGATGATCATCTAGTCCAGTAGTTCTTAAACTGTGGGTCAGGACCCCAAAGTGGGCCGTGATCCCGTTTTAATAGGGTCGCCGAGGCTGGTGTTAGACTTGCTGGAGCCTGGGGCTGAAACCAAAGTCCAAGCCCCGCTGCCCAGGGCTTCAGTCTTTGGCTTTTGCCCCCCACCCAGGGCTGAAGCCTTCAAGCTCTGGCTTTGGCCCCCCTCCTGGCTTTGCCCTCCACCCCGGGCAGTGGGGCTTGGGCTTCAGCTTTCGCCCTCCCGCTAATGGCAATGGGGATCAGGCTTCAGTCCGCCTTCCCGGAGTCATGTAGTAATTTTTGTTGTCAGAAGGGAGTCGCAGTGGAATGAAGTTTGAGAACCCCTGACCTAGTCTGACCTCCTGTACAGCACAGGCTACCAACAGCACACAGCACCAGCACGGATCTACATTTCCATATTAGCTCCTAGTCTAAAAGAGGCAGAACATTTCACTGAGCGTATAGGATACAGAGGTTTTTTGGTCCATCTAAGTTAATAGCAAGGTTTAGAAGCTTTTTAAATTTAACAGAGTTCAGATAATCTGTCCTACCTGTTTCATGGAGGCCTTAATCCAATTTTTTTAAATTATATTTTGCATGTGTTTACATCTTGCTGTGAACTAGAGAATGAACTTTATAGCACTTACGTACGTTTTCATATGAAGCTCAGTACTACTCCATATTATTTGACTTGTAAAATATCCTGGTGTACATTGACCTCTAAATTTCTGCTCTCCCTCCCTCTCTAGACATATAGAGAGGGAGAGAGAGTGTAAAATATAATGAACTTCTAAACCACTGAAAATAGCAATAGAAATCACCTTTCCACAACAAGATAGCGCTCAGATCCCTACATGGTCTTGAGAGCCTGGTAAACTTTAAAAAGAACAGGAGTACTTGTGGCACCTTAGAGACTAACAAATTTATTAGAGCATAAGCTTTCGTGGGCTACAACCCACTTCTTCGGATGCATCCGAAGAAGTGGGTTGTAGCCCACGAAAGCTTAACAAATTTATTAGAGCATAGTCTCTAAGGTGCCACAAGTACTCCTGTTCTTTTTGCGGATACAGACTAACACGGCTGCTACTCTGAAACCTGGTAAACTTTACTGATTGTTGTTGGCACCAACGCTATAAACCTGCCCTTCTTCAATAACATTTCCTTATCGCTGATGGTCAGAACTTTCCTCATCAACCCAATTTATTCCTTTCGCTTCCTCATGGGTCAATAGGTCCAAAGGTTAGCAAAGCAGCGTTTAGATGGTTGCCTTGGTGTGGCATGAACTGGAATGACACAGTCTAAAGTTAACAGCTTGGACAGAGCTTTCACCCAAGCGTTCTAGAGCGGGTCTCCTTCCCCGACACAGTAAGGTCAGAGCCAACTCTGCTGCCACCACCTATCCCCAGAGGGGATGCAACTGCCATACAGTTAATACCAGATCCCCCCCCACCCACCCCTAAGCTGAGGGGCGTTGGGGGAAGAGAGCGGAGGAGAGAGGCAGAGAGAAGCTTCTGTAACTTACCCAGGAGGTGGGCTGGGATCCGCTCTGCGGGCTGCACCGTGCAGAGGGAGGGATGGAGCCGCCGGCGGCCCAGTCACAGCGGTGATCCGAGCCCCCCGGCTGGCTGGGCAGAGCAGAGCGCGCGCTTCTCACGCACCTGCCGAGCCGCTACTCCCGGAAATCCAGCAGGACTTGCTGGCCGCTCGCACCTCCCGGGGGCGGGGAGGGGGGCGAATCGCTGGGCTGGCGCTCAAAGCAGGCGGGCGCTTTGCTCGGGACAGCCGAAGCTGCCCCTTTGCTCGGGTGGGTGGCTGCGCTCTGCAGCCGGGCGCCCTGGCTCCTGCCGCGGGGAGTTGGGCTTCTCGCCGAGGGAGAGGCGCTCAGCCTTCCCGCGGAGCTGCCCGGCACAGGGTTAGGGCGCGATTAGTAACCCCCCAAAACCCAGCTTAGATGGGGGAAGGGGGAATTCGAACACGGGCTGGAACCCTAGTGTAGACGGGGCTGTTGCTGTTTTAACATGTAGGTGCCCACGTGCTGAGTGGGTACCCTGGCAGGGCGGTGGGTGGGTCTGTAGTCTGGGGCTAGACCAGGGGTGAGCAAACTTTTTGGCCCCACGGCACGTCTGGGTCTGAAAATTGTATGGCGGGCCATGAATGCTCACAAAATTGGGGGCTCGGGTGCGGGCTCTAGGGTGGGGCTGGAGATGAGGGGTTGGGGGTGCAGGAGGGTGCTTCGGACTGGGACCAAGGGGTTCAGAGGGGGATCAGGGCTGGGGCAGGAGGTTGGGGTGCAGGAAGGGGTGCAGGCTCTGGCTGGGGGTGTGGGCTCTATGGTGGGGCTGGGGATGAGGGGTTGGGGGTGCAGGAGGGTGCTTCGGACTGGGACCAAGGGGTTTGGAGGGCAGGAGGGGGATCAGGGCTGGGGCAGGGGGTTGGGGTGGAGGAGGGGGTCAGGAGTGCAGGCTCCAGGCGGCACTTACCTCAAGCAGCTCCCAGAAGCAGTGGCATGTCCTTCCTCGGCTCTGAGCGCTGCCCTGTCTGCAGGTGCTGCCCCTGCAGGTCTCATTGGCTGTGGTTCCTGGCCAATGGGAGCTGCGGGGATGGCGCTTGGGGTGGGGGAAGCGTGCAGAGCCCCTTATCTGCCCCTACGCGTAGGAGCCAGAGGGGGGACATGCTGCTGCTTCTGGGAGCTGTGCGGAGAGGGGCAAGCCCCAGACCCCACTCCCCGGCGGGAGCTCAAGGGCCAGATTAAAATGTCTGGAGGGCCGGATGCGGCCCCCGGGCTGTAGTTTGCCCACTCCTGGGCTAGACATAACCGCTGCCAATGTGGCCATGGCCACACACAGCTGCTATGGTGCCAGGACCTGTCTGTCTAGGTGCTGGGAAGCACCTCCCAGCCACTACGCAGACAGGGGTGTTAAGTACAGTACTTAACACATGTTCGAACACACCCTTTATCCTGAAGACCAGGCCTCTCAGTCTTGGTGCTGGGCCCACTTTGTAATGCCTGGTGCTGGGGTTTATCTTGGCTGTATTTTGTTTTCTGCAGTGGTGGGGTTCTCTTTTCTCACCGTCTGAAGGTTTCCTGGCTGATTCTGTAGCTGAAGGGCCAATGCTTGATGCCAAGTATGTTATGTATTTCATGGAGACTTCTGAAATATATTCATATATTTTGATGTATAACATTATACAAAAAAGTGCTTCTGTTAGGTGCCTGTTCCCAGGGTGCTTTCCATAGTATTCAACTAAAAAACTGATCAAGTTTAGCTAAACAGAGGCCTCATGCTGCAGGGATGCAGCTGTGCCTGAAAGAAGCTCACTGCAAGTTGGGGATCATAGTACAATTCTCCCCCTGCTATGACTTATTTTCTCTCTTCCTTTGAAATATCTCTTAAGAATGCCACTAACTCATTACTAAACTGGAAAGACTTACACACTTGCATAACGTTACTGAACATTGTATGTGCATAAGATCATACAGCGAGTCTGGATCAGAATTAGGAAAAGAACTCAGAAGTTCTGAAAAACATTCCTGTACGCATGGCAAAAAGATAGCACGACAGGCACAAAAATAGGTCACGCAAGTCCTAGGGGCTTTACAAAAAAGTGCAGACTTAGTTATTGCCTTTAAAAAATTATAATCCAAACAGATTGAATTGTCTCTTCATTCAAGTTCTGTCTGCTCATGAATGTGTTCTATCCACCATTCCTCACCCACTGACATCAACAGGAGCATTGCCACTGACTTAAATGGGAGTGAGTCTTAGGGTTGCCAGATGTCCAGTTTTTGACCAGAACGCCAGGTCGAAAAGGAACCCTGCAGGCTCCAGTCAGCACTGCTGACCAGGTCATTAAAAATCCAGTTGGCATGGGGCTGACAGGCTCCCTACCTGGCTTTGCATGGCTCCCTTGAAGCAGCAACATGTCCCTGCTGCTCCTAGATGAAGGAATGGCCGGGGGGCTCCATGCACTGCCCCTGCCCTGCCCCGAGTTCTGGCTCTGCAGCTCCCATTGGCTGGGAACCACGGCCAATGGAGCTGCAGGGGCAGCGCCTGCGGGTGGAGGCAGCGCACAGAGCCGCCTGGTCACGCCTCCACCTAGGAGCCAAGGGACATGTCGCCACTTGTGAGGAGCTACCCGAGGTGAGCGTCGCCCAGATCTGGCACCCCGAAACCCCTCCTGCACCCCAACTTGCAGCCCTGAGCCCCCTCCTGCACCCCAAATCCCTCATCCCTGGCCTGTGCTGAAGCCCTCACCCACTCCCGCATCCCAACCCCCTGCCCCAGCTTGTGAAAATAAGCAAGTGAGAGAGGGATGGGGGATGGAGTGGGCAGGGGGCGGGGCCTCAGAGAGGGGGTGGGGCAGGGGTACAATTAGAAAGTTGGTAGCCCTAGAGTAAGATCAGGACCCAAAAGAGTCAATTTAATAGATCCTGCCTTCTGCCATATACAAATGCATTATAACAGGGTAGTCATTTGGATGGCTGAGCTAAACAAGACAATGAGGGCAAATTTTCCCCTTTCTTCCTTTAAGACTCAAATCCACAAATGTAAACTCTGAGAAGTGGGGCAAAGTAGGTTGAGAGGTGTCTTCTTTAGCTGTTTTTTTAAAATATTATTAAAATCAAAAACTTTTCATCTAAGCTGCCAAGGATTTGAAAATGTTATGTTTCTAAACAGATTAAAATTACAGGTCAGTTTATTTAATACACCTTTTATGATGTATCAGCTACTTGTATTTGATTCAATTCTGTTTGTTAATATAAATAAATGTGAACATTAATGCGTCTGAAAGCATTCAATAAAGAATTAGAATAAAACACATATTTTACTTGAAATGAATGATCCAATAACATTTGACAGCAAGGCTCCAGCTTACTCAGATACAGACAGCAAAGTTACTTTGGAATAATGGCTCCTACCCGTAGAATTTAGTGCTGGTTCTGTTCTGCATATTAGTTGTATAATGGCAGTGCTAGAGGCTCAGCTGAGATCAGGGCTGCAGTGAGCTAGGACTGTACACACACATAGTGAAACAGACCCTGCCCCCAAAGAACTATAGTTAAAATAGACAAAAAAGGCAAAAGGTAGAGAAACAACTTGTCCAAAGTCAGAAACAGAGCCAGGAGTAGAACCCAGGTTCCCTGAGCCCTGTTCAGTGTCCTATCTACTAGACGGCACCGTCTCTGTTCTTAAACATGCTATTATTAATTATGTATATTATCCTAGCCATTAGACCTTTATGTGAGCATGGCATGAGGTGCCCTTTTAACATGCAGAGGACAGGGAGAATTTTTACAAGTACCTTTTGAAAGTCTAAGGAAGAGCTAAGCTCTTTGCTCAACTGGAAAATTGTGACTTCTATAAATATTTGGATGAAAGAATAACCAGCAACCTTGAATAGTTAGTACAGGGTTGCCTGACATACATGATAAACTCTGTGACATGCAGTTCTAAAGGGCTACTGAAGCTTTGTTATTCTGATGGCAGAGGTTTATTTTGGCTGGTTACCAACCTGTTGGTGCTTTTACAAGCTTCTGAGATGGTTAAGGTGTGTTTATGTTGCATTAGATGCCCTTATTAAATGTACTGTTTCTGAATGAAATTTTAGAGTTATGCCATAAAAATACACCTTTCTTAAGGCCACATTCTTGGCATGACTGAAAAGCACTAGCCTGTAGCTATGTTGTACCACCAAATTAGGAACTGCTGTCACGCTGACCAAACTACACGCTGAAGCAAGGGAGTAGCGGGACTGAATGAAAAAAGGGTGAAGGACTGACCTATGTTGAGAAGTTCACTTGAAAGAATTTGATGTTTTTTTAAAATGTTGTATTGTGAAAGAACCACCAGAGAAAGAATGTCCCCTGAAATTTGGTGGCTGCTGCTGGATGGAGATTCAGCCCTGTGACGACAAAGCACACTGCAACAGGAGAGTCTGTGGTCAGCAGTCATTCAAACTCCTCTTTACTTGAGCCACTGGAGAAAAGTGTGTCGTACCAATAATGTGGAAAAAGCAAGACCACCTATGCTTTTGGAGGCTATGAATCCATGGAGTATCATTTAAAGTGATTTTAGATGCATGGCGTCCCACCTGGCAGAAGGCTGCTGTGATAATTGTATAGAGCTGGACAAAACATTTAAAATTTCTAGGTGTTCCAATAAAAAGGGACAATTTCCCACTAAAAATGTGTTCCTTTTCAACCAACTCTATAATTTAAAGAATGATTTTAGAGGAGCATTAACCTGATAATTTTGTGTCATGTGGAAAGTTATGCTTTTCTGGGAAGTTCAGAAGGATGGTGTTTTTAATTAGCAGTTGCACTGTTTCTTCCATTCAGGAAATTGTTCTTAGTGCTAAGAAAAGTAACACTTATAGAAAGAAATTCTTTATGATAAGGATGTCATTGGAAGAATAATTATTTAGACTGTAGTCTCTTCAAGGCGGGTACCATCTCTTATTCCATGTTTGCTCAATGCATAGCACAATGGGTTGTTCCTAGCCTCTACCACAGTAAAAATGAATTATTAGGCAACTGTGGCACAAGTAGCCTCTCTAGTGTACTGTGGAGTTAGGACTAGAGCTGGGCAATAGCAGTGAAATCATTTTTCAACAATACCAATAAGAAGCTTCATTTTATGTGATTTCAAACCTCCTGAAAT